AGGAATGCCTTTGCTATTACCTCCCTCATCCAGCCAGAGTCCTGAACCAAACCCACAGCGCAAGGAGCAGGGGAGCACCAGGGGATGAGCTCTGCTGGGGGCAGCTAGTCTTTCCAGAGAGCTTGAGGTATGGAAGGGGCAGCTGGTTCACCACCCATTCACAAGGACTGCAGTGCAAACAGCCTCGCCAGTCCGTGACTAGCCCTCGCTGCCTGGGGCTGTGTCTGTAAGAGAGATGCTGTCCTGGCTTCAGTGTAGCTAATAGACCAATGCTAACCCCAGGCCAGGGCTCAGGGAGGCCTCTCGTAGTTACCACCATGATCCACAGGGGCTGCATGTGCCTAGCAGCCTACACCAGACTCCCATTTCTGGCCAGCTTTCTCCCATCCCAAGGACCCTCCAATTGCTTCCCCCTCCAAAACCCTTACCATAATGTGAGTGCTTCCATGATCTGCCTTCTGCTCTCAGTTTCTTTCCCCTAGACACAAGTCAGCACTGCAAATAACAGCCCATTTAGGTAGTGGTTTTTGGGACGGGTGGAAACCCCTAGAATAAGGGCACTGGCCACATCCCACCAACACCTCATCAAACATCTGACTCAGGGTTCCCCTTGCCCTTGCTGCCGGGCTAGCATGGCTGCCCCCTGCTGAAATAGCTGCTGCTCATCTTTCCCTTGAAGTAGTGAGTGAAGTGACCCCCAGTACGTTTAGTTTGCAAAGTACCCTGGGATCTGTCAGGGTGAAGTTATAGATTGCTAGGCCTTGCTTTTGTATTTCCCTTGGTACTATCAGCCAGTCCCTGCTCCCTCACCACTTTCACTCCTTCCAAAGGGTGTTTGGAGGAGCGGGGGCCGGGATGTGGGGGTCTGAGTTTTCTTTCTACTCTTCTGTACTCCTGCCTTACAGCAAAGCTTCCACAAGAGACCTCCAACATGGCCAGATCTGTGCAGGCACTGGGCGACCTACAGTTCAGGTCCTCCAGCTGGCAAAGGCCACTCAGTTCAGTGCCACCCCCATCCCTGAGCTCATTCCTGAAGCTCCTCTGCAGAGCAGCTGGCATTGCCAGGCTAAGCATGGCTATGGAGAAGGCAGCAAAATGACTGTTCCTCAAACAATCCTAGGTAGTCAGACAGGAAAGTTGAGACACAGCAAGATGCAGGGACTTGCCAAGGTCCTCAGTGGGTTAGAACCTCAGTGCCAGATGCCCCACTGCCAGTCCCTACCCACACTTTCTTCCCCACCAATCAGTCCTTCCATATCACCACCTCCACACCTTTTTTCATCCCCTGCTCCTCTGTTAAAAGTCTGCTGCTGCACAAGGATTCATCGCTCCCCGAGGCTGCCTCGGTGGAGAGCAGGTGGTTCTGATCCACACGCTCCATCTGAAAGGCATGTTGGTCCATGTGAACACTTGAGGCCAGAATCCAGAGGTGCTGTTCCCCTGTTCCACCACTTTGCAATGGACAGTCCCCCAGTCTGGATGACTTGTCTACTACTGTGTGCCTCAGCACTACTTGTCACAGGATGTGCAGGTGTGGTAGGTACCTCTCAGGGTCTCTTCAGGCTTTCCTGGTCCCTGTGGTCTCACTGAGAACTCTCTTCTCCCTCCTTGAGTCACCAAGCTTGTCTCACTCTGACGGGGGAAGGATGCTGTCAGTGAGGAGGCCAAAACATCCCATCAAGGTAGGCCATGACCCTATCACTTCCCCTGTCAGACTTCCTCTTCCCAAACCAGACACCCTCTCCTTGCTTTCTGCTGCCATGAGATAATACCCCAATGGAGCCTCAGTTGGAGGCAGGAGGTGACTGACTGGAACCTACCCCTGGAGTAGAGTTCACAGGGTGGTGCCTGGGGTGACCCCAAAAACAGCACATGCTAAAATGAGGTATTTCAGCGATCTTAACTAAGCAACATTTTCCTATTCCTCACATGACTAAGGACAGAGCCCCCTCCAGGCCTCAGGACTCTGGAGTGCCTTTGAGACACTGGGCAGGTCATGCAGATCCTGGAGAAATCTCATGTTAAAGACAACAGCGTGGCCTTCTTGTTGGACCAAGTCCCCAGGGGCAGGGCTTGTGCCTTAGCTCTGCCTCCTCGCTCCACATGTGCCATTTATTTTACAGTACCTTAGAAGTTAGGAAGAGGAAAGAACAAGCTGCTGGACAGGGTACCTCTGGGCTCCTTGCTACTGTACCCAGGAGGCAGTGGGGCAGGGGAAGGCTGAGATTGTGTCTCCCACGGATTATGTACAACCTACAAATAAATACTGTCTTGAAAGGGAGGTGGGGAGTGTGTGTGTGTGTGTGTGTGTGTGTATAATATATATATATATATTTATATATATATTTATAGATATTTCAATATTAAAAGGGGGGAAAAATATAGCACTGTTATAACAAAGTCCTTGGTGGTGATTTCATGTGTGCTGGTCCATGTCTGGCTGGTGATTCCGGCGGTTCCGTGGCTTCTTCTGGTCCTGCTGCTCCTTGGTTTTGAGGCCTGCCAGCACCTCCTTATGGCTGGCAGCTGCATGCCGCCAGTAGCCCTGGCAGTACTGGTTGATGAGTCCCATTTCAGGCTGGGTGAGGAGCTGTACCAGGTCCTGGTAGTGAGGTCCGGGTGCACCGGGGACACCAGCCCTCATGGCTGCCGCGGAGATGTCACCATCAGCCCGCAGACTGGGTGTCTCTGAATGGAAGAGCACGGCATGGACGGTTTCACTGTTCAGCACATGCAGCTGCACCTTGGCCACTGTGTGCTTGAAGTTGTTTTCTGTGGCCGTGCAGGAGTAGAGGCCACTGTCGGATAGCTGCAGGGAGCGCAGCAGCAAGCCCTGCTCCGTCCTCAGCACCCGGCCCTCTATGCGCAGCTGGAAAGGAGATGCAAGGGATGAGGGCATTAGGAAGAGAAACATGGCCAGGTGCAGCAGAGAACACACAGGTTTGGGTCATCAAAGAGAGGGTGGAATAAAGACAAATCAGTGCTGGCAGGTGCCAGTCTAGACTTCCCTCAGCTTCCCACAGACCACTTGGGCTTGATCCCCAGCTGCAGGCAATGAGCTTCAGCATCATACATGTGGCCTCCACTTTGCTCCTACCTCTTTCCTCCGATCACTGTTGTCCTTCTGGAGGAGCCATTTGATAGTAGCCTGTGGGGAGCGGGGCTGGCACTCTAGGAAGGCTGTGCTGCCCTCCACCCCATAGTGGATGGCCTCCACTGTGTTTTTGTTTGCTAGGAGTTGGAGTAGAGGAGATACGGGTCAGATGTTGGAACTTGCACAATGCACACAATCCAGCTCTTGCGCAGAAAGTTTAGTAACCCAACATCTCCCTCCAGCTTCCTGACCTGGCAACAGCATCTTCTGCCCTTTGGCTACACACTTTCTGACAAACCAATCCACAGTTGCTTCCATCTCATCCCATGCTTTGATCCAGCCAGCCAGGCAACCAATACATCTATCCCTTCAAGCAGCATATCCATCCATCCACCCATCACTCTAATCCATCCATCTGTTTGCCCATTCAGCTAGCGTGCTCCTCTATATCTATACATTCTTTTATCAGTATTCCTTTATTAGTATATTCACCTCACCACCATGTCCTTACAATTTAACCATCCATCTCTCAATCCAGTGGATCGATTTACACATCTAATACAGCCATCAGCTTGTTCAACCATCAGTTGTCTCATTTGCCTGTCCCTCTATCTTCCCTCCGCGTCTTTCTCCACCCATGGCTGGCTCAAGCCCAGGGCTCTGGCCAGAAAGCTCTACTCACCATTGGAGTTGTAGCCCCGGCACTGGCGGATGGGGTTACCATGCCGGACATCCTGGCGCCTGCTTCGCCTACAGGGAGAGAGGGGTGCACATCAGAAATTATCCACAGCTTCAGGGTTCTAGCCTATCGCTATGGGGAACCTGGGGGGCCTGAGAATAGCTGCATGAATGTACAGCTTAGTCCCCACAGCCAGAATAGGCCAGCCCATCCTGCTCCACAGTGCAGGGCTTGAGGGCTGAGTCTCCTCATTCCTGTTTCTGGTTGGAGGCATCAAGCACCCCCTGCAGCCTTGCTAGCAGGTTGCCCATGGAGATTGTTTCCCAGTCCCATTGCCCTGCTGGCGAACTTCAGCCAGGAGACATGATGACCCCTCCCCACAGCACTGATGGTGCTGGCTCTGCCCTTGGCTGGGGCTGCTCACTATAACAAACCCTCTCTCCCCTGCCCATGGCTTGATCATACCTCTTGGAGGAGGCAGAGTAGCGGGAGCACGCCTTGCCATCCCAGGCACAGTAGGGATCTCTGGCTAGGCAGCAGTCAGCGCAGGCCTCCCCATACATATTGCAGCGATGCAGGGCCAGGTGGGTCACGCCCACAGCTGAGGCAACATACAGCTGTTGCTGTGAATGGCAGAAAGCACTGTGAGATCCTGTTGAGCCACAGAGCCTGGGATTATCCTGAAAGGCCTTCCCTTGTCTGAGGAGCCATGGGAGAGTGGCTACCCAGAGGTCCAGCACTACGGGAGATGCTGGGAATGCAGAGGGGCTGGCAGCCACCCATGGCCTGTTGCCTCTTTACTTGGAGAGGGAAGCGGTAGAAGGGGGTGGGACAGAGGAGGCACATGGGGGCTTCCAGGCAAGCATGTGCAGGGTGGGCTTGGTGGCATTGCTGGCTCCTTTCATTTCTAGAGCAGTTTTGACCAGAAAAGTGACTGTTGAGACACACCTGTCCAGCAGAGCCCCCTCTTACCCACAGCCCTTCTGAACCCAACCAATGAGTGAACAGCAAGCAGGATGGTACTTCTCCTCTGGTCGCCCTGTTCAGGGCTGCCCCAGCTCCATGGCAGAATTATTTCACTGGCGGTGGATGAAGCTGGGCCCTTGGGTCCCCAGAAAGATGCACTGTAAGGGCTACATGAAATTCCTGCCTGAGATTCAGCCCCAAAATCCATAAGCAATGACACCAGGTGAACATGGAAGGCCACAGGAAAATGCTGTAATCACAGCATCTCCATCTCTCCTCACTGAGGGGGTTACCAGTGAGAATGACATTGCTGGGATGCAACAGGAAGCCTCAGCCCTGGATGGATGTGGGAGCATTGTTAGGTGTGGCTCTCTGCAGGGGCTCTCCATGTGAAGAGGCCCAGTCCCTGCCTAAATCCCCGTGCAGCATATTTCAGACTCACCCTCTTGGAGGAGATGGTCATTGTCTTGATTGGGGCAGGAACCTAGAACAAAAGCATGGGAGCACAGTGGTCAGTCCTGGCAATTACCTCAGACCCTTCAGAGCTGTTCATGCAGTCTGGGACCATGGAGAAGACATTATCTGGGTGACCTGTGGCCAACTGCAGCTACAGAAGGTGGAAGAAGCCCAATGCTAGCTTTAAGGAGGGCAGGAAGGTTCAGAGAGCTTCCATCAGCCATGAGGAAGTCCCTGTGGCAGGACAGGGGAGGTGGTGCAGGAACCTAGGCCTTACCTTGAACACTTCCACCTCCTCCAGCATCAGCTCCTCTGTCTCCATGTCATCCTTGGGGAGAACTATCACCTTCTGGACTGTGCCATGGTCTGCAAGGCAACAAGGCACACAGAGCACTCAGCACTGCTAGGATGGACTTTTGATGCCCTATCTCAACCCAGGAGGGAGGGGAGCGGGCAGAGCAGTGTGTAGCTCAACAGAGCCTGACCTGCCATCTCAGCTTTGCATATGAATCAAGGGCTGAGAGGCCATTCAGGAGCTGGGGAGAGGCAGAAGGACAGCACAGGGCTATTAGAGCAGACAGGATAACCATTCCCTTGAACAGGGTAGCTGTCTCCGATGGTGTACTTCAGAGACATCCTCCAAACCCTGGTGACAGTGCCATCACCAGGACTTCAACTCCTGCATTTCATAGGTGACCAAGATATCTGGGTGGGAAGCTCCTGGGCTAAGCCTCAGCTGGGCTCTCCCTGAGGAGGTAAGGGCCTGCTGAGCAGATGCTACTCACCATGTGGCCAGCTCCTGCTCTGACTGAGGCTTCAGCCCAAGCAACATTCTCAGTGAACACGGGACACTGCTGAACGAGCCCCATTCTTAGTGCAGCATGAAAGCCCCATTCAAAATAGTGCCCATGCCTTTCCCTGGTAGTTGCTTTCCCCAGGACTGCCTAGCACTTCACAGCCATTCACCCCTTAGTGAGTGGGTGAGGGACAGCACTTCTCTGCTTACCATGGGTAGCCTGTGGGATGGCAGGTGGCAGCTAATTAAGATGGCATCTGTGCTGCTCAGGAGGGAAAAGAAGACTGGCTTTCTAAGACACTGGCCTGTGACTCAGCAGACCTGGGCTTAGATCCTGGATCTATTGTAAGCTTCTAGGGTGCCCTGGACTAGTCACTAGATTTCAACTAATAGAAGAGGAATAATAACTTTTGTTTTGTCTAAACTCCTTGAGATACCCACAGTTACACAGAAAGGGTTCCTGAAATGTGACTTCTTCCAGGGCAGAATGTCCTAGGGTCCAGCAAAACATGAGCATGAAGGAGGCAAAGTGAAATCACTCTTGCTGCCAGATAGCCCCTTCTGAGAGCTGCCACGGGCTCTGCAAGGGCCATGGCAGTCCCAGCCCCAACCAGATATTCCATTCATAAGACTTACATACACATTGCCAGGCTCCTTGTACAGGCACAGTCACCAACAAGGACGCCCAACCTAGCCATGACCCTGCAGCCCAAGCAGCTTGACCCTGCTTAGCTAGCACAATGGGTTGGAGAAACTTACAGCCACAAGAGGCTGGACAGAAGTTGGAAAGCTGCTGTTGCAACAGAAGGATGGGTGCCACTGCCAGGCAGACTCAGGGCCATCACTGCACTCTGGGGACGTGTCCTACTGTTTTGGTGTGGCCAGAAATGGGGTTGGGCAGAGCTCAAAACAAGAGTGTCATTAGTTTGATGGCTTCTTGGGCTAGGCTGTAATCAGTATCCTTGGTCTGCTCCTAGAGCCAGGGCAAGACTGTTCCCTCCAGCTCTTGCCTTCCAGCCTGTGGGGTGGGCTCCCATCCATCTCACAGTGCTCTGGCACCTATAGCTGGGGAAGAACTCTGGTGGAGGCAGAGCAGCTCAGGTCCTGGCATGGAGGGCAGCAATGGGAAAGCATCATCCCCACCTTCTCTCCACTTTGTATTTTCCACAGAGGGCAGGAGCAGGAGATTCATTTCAGCCATGGCAGAGGAAGTGAGATATTCCCTGCTTGGATATGACAGGTGGTGGAAGGACTTGTGAGGCTTCAGGGGCAGCTGGAGAAGCTGGGGCAGACCAGTGAGCAAACAGTTGAGTGAGAGACAGCATTTATGAGCTAACAGATCTTTTGGGTCCTCAGCATTCCTAGATGCCTGCTTGGAGGTGCTGGCAGGGCTCCCACTTCCTGGCTGCTGGCAGCCCACAGCTCAAGGCCCGCTACAAGAAAACTAGAGGAGCACGTGCTGCTAATTGGTCAACAAGGACCACCAAGGAACCAACCCCTCTGTCTCCCTTTGGTCAGATTCCCACTGGATCCCGCTGCAAAGAATAGCCCTTTCCCACATGGCAGCAGAAGGCAGCGACCACTCAGCTGGGGTGACCTCGGCCAGCAGGAGGCTGCACAGAGGAGGCTGGCACTGGGCAACACTGGCCCCCAGGAGAAAAGGACTGGACCTGGAAGAGGTTCTAGGGCAGCCCCTGGAAATCTCTGCCCTGCTGATCCTGCCCTGCCAACCAGCCTGTTTCCAGCTCTTGCCCTGCCCAGCTGGGTCTGAAACAAGAGTACACAGTAGGAGGTCTTTGGCCAGCCAGAGCCCAGCGAGCCAAGGGTGTTTTAATCTCCCTCCATGCCCTCCCTCTTGGCCAGTATGGGTGGTGCTCGTGTGTGTACTCTCTGCGGTGCATGGCTGCGGGTACCTGTGCCCAGGAAAAGCACCTCATAGCGCCCATCCGCCGCGTCCACCTGGTCCACAGCAATAGTGGTGAACTTGTAGTTGACATTGCTTCTCACCACTAGGGGCCGGCGATGCACGGGGTAAACAGCGTTGTACATCATGGGGTGTGTGCGCATGAAATTGATCACCTCGTCCGGGTAATCCTTGGTCGACTTCATGGATGGGGTGAAGGTTCCACCTGGGCACTGGAAAGCAGGGCAGCAGGTGAAACACTGGCATCACCTGTGGCTCTGCTGACCCCACCTGTCCCCTCCCAGCCTCGCTGCACTGTCCTCAGGCAGTGTTATAGTCCGGAGAGGTACAGCCCACCCCACAAGCCAGCCTGCCCCACAGCATCTGGCAGCAACACCTCAGGGTCACTCCCTCCACTGAGGCCTTTCCCTGTCCTATGACCATAGTGGGGTGGAGCCCCACAACCATGGGCTTGCGGCTGTACTTGACCTCTGAGTACCACCCCTAAGCACTCCTGTCATCAGCTCACAGGTCTGTCCTGGCTGTGTGGGTGAGAAGGTCTTACCTTCACAGCCAGGGCAGGGCCCCAGGGCTCCAACATGAGCTCTGCCAGTGCCCAGCAGCCACAGGAAACTCCAAGGCCCCCATTAGGGAGAGAATGCGCCTACGGGGCCATTCTCCACTGGGAAGAGTCCAGCTGAGGGGAGCAGGGGAGAGGTGGGCTGGCTGCACAGGGATGCCAGGGGGCCTGAGAGCAGAGTTGGAGATGGAGCAAAGCAGCAGGTAAGGAAAGACCTTTTAACCCATCCGACCTGATCTGCCTTCTGTCCCATTCTGCAGGGCTTGGATATGTTTCCAAACCCTTCCCTAACATGTGACAAGGGCAGTGGAGGGGCACAAAGGGCTGAGAGAGAGAAGAGAAATGCAAGAAAGACCAAGCATATTCCCCATGAGGGAGGAAGGGCAGAGAAGATGCATGGATGGAGATGGGGAGAGGGGGAGGCAGAGCTGGGGGGAGGGACAGACCCACTTCCCACTCCTCCCCTGACACTGGCCCCTTCTTGAACCCATGTGACAAAGCATGTGACAGTAGGGATGGGGCCTCCCCACAGGGACAGTATTTCACTTTTGCACAGGGAGATCATAGCCCAGGCACAGAGGCGGGCAGGTGCTCTGTGATCTTCCCTGATACACACGCATGTGTGGATATGCACACACACATATGCATGTGTACACAGAAATGCATGCATACTTATGCACACACACAGACATATGCACACACACACACAGAGTAGGAGTGTACACTACCCAGTCATGCTTTAGACCACATATATACACATGCACAAAGACACAGATGAACTGTGAGTGCATGCTGTCTGGGCCAGACTGTGCCCACCATGTGTGTACGCACATATACATGCACTGCATCCACCCCCACAAGACAGCCTTTGGCTGATGGCCTTCTGTTGGGGCAGATACTCCCGTTGGGAGCTCCAGCTGTACTTACGGTGCCTGGGCGGGGGTAGGGCATTTTGCCAGTATATGGCATCCACTGGTAGTTGGGCCCTTCCTTGTGGGCAAAGGGCCCATTGAAGACCATGCGGATGTCAGCCATGGAGTATACACACACAGCAGAGCCTTTGAACACAGACCTGGCAGGGCCAGAGGAGGGAATGCTGTATTAGCACCAGGAGGTCACACTGCTGGAAGAGAAGCTACCTGCCCCCTGCCCTGGCTGAGTGTCCTGCGGCTGGGGCTGCTGACTCTCTGCCCAGGTGCACTGGGACCAGACCTGTTCAACTTTCCAAGCTGCTCCTGACTGATCTGCCTTCTGTTCCATTCTGGAGAGCCTGGATATGCTTCCAAATCCTTTCCTAACACATGACAAGCCTAGGGCAGAGTGGTCAGTTCCCAGCCTGGCACTGGACTTGCAGGAAACAACTGGCTGTAGAAGCATTAGCAATGTCATTGCTGGGTGTAGCCAGGGAATGGTGCCACATGGCTGTTTCACCATGTCCTCTTGCCACTAAACATGAGTCATCCTAGCCACAGACCCTCAGACCTCTCCATGACATTGTCCTTGGGCATGGCTGCTTCTCCTGAAGGTCTGTGGCCTCTTGTGCTGAGAGGGCCTGCTCCCCTGGGGAAAATGTTCGACCTCAGGGTGCTCTTTCCTGTTGCTCTTGCTTGTTCTCAGAGGGTTCCAGCCCAGCCATAGTCCCTTTGGCTTCCATGTGACAAAGACCACCTTAGCAAGTGGGCTACATAGGACTGATCTTGCATCTGTCCCTGCTGCCCTCCCCCAGGGCACTCACCCTGAGGCGGCAAACACAGCATAGATGATGGGATTCTTCATGTCCTGAGTCTGCTGGATGAACACGTCCTCTTGAGGGGAGAAGAGAAGGAGAGTTAGCAACTGGAGTTGAGAGTCCGGGCTCTAAACTCCCTCCATAAGGGGAGGAGGAGCTGAATAAGTTGGAGATGGGGAGGAAGAACTAGGAGTACTTTAGGAAACGGGGTTGGGAGCGCTGGCCATGTGGGATTGTTCAAGCTAGTCTAGTCCCAGTCTAGTTCAACAAGGGGCACTGTAAGAAATGAGGTGGGGGTGTTTGCTGTGGGGGAGCTCCCGGCTACTCCAGCCCCAGCCTCTCCCAGCACAAAATGCTGTAGGGAGTGGGGCTGGAGGGCTGGATGTGGGAGGTGCCCCTTCCAGCTTCTTTCTCCAGTTCTGAGGGGGCCTGTAATACAGGAATGTTGTCTGTCAGAGGTGTGATGGGTAAGGAGGAGGAGCAGGGGGCTTGCTGTGGGGGCTCCCAGCAGGAGCCAGAGGCAATGCTGGGCACCATCTGGAACTGATCCGGGGAAAACGAAGCAAAGCAAACAGGCAGGCACTGGGGCGGAGCGGTGTCCTGCTCCCAGTCACAGCCCATCCATCACTGCCAGGGCGGGTGCTGAAAAGCCATGACAGGGCTGTGCGCTGCCTCCCAGGGAGCCTGGGAGGACCTGCCCAGCCCTGCTGAGAGATGCTTGGCAGGCTGCCACGGGCAGAGGCCTTGCAGCACTGCACACTCGTGACAGAAGCTGGGCACTGGGGAGCTGGACATAGCAACTTCCCCAGTGCCCTGCCTGTTGCTATGTCCTGCTCAGAGATGCCACTCTGCAGTGAACATCAGGGAGCCCAGATGCCCCCTGCTCCCTGCCAGGGGTCATGGTTAGTTTGTCCCTAAAGGAGGCCGCACCACCCTGTCCTGTGCTGCAGTGCCTGGACCCACCTCCTGCCATGCACTTACGGAGCTCGTCGAAGTGTGTCTCAATCCCATCTGGTCCTGGCACAGAGCAGATGAGCCGGGCCTTCAGGAATGTGCTCCACTTGTTCACCAGGCAGCAGTGACCCCCGTCATCATTCTAAACCAAGGGCAAAACACTGTCCTCAGGCACTGAGGGAAACCACAGGGTGTCCTAGTATCATGCAGCTGGTTTAGTGCCCTAGCAGGGGCACTGTGGAAGTGGGGCAGGAGTATGGGCTGGTAGGGGGAATACCCAACCCCAACCTCCTCTAGAAAGGGGCAATGCAGGGAACAGGTACATACCAAGCAGATGCGCCCAATGCGGGAATAGACAGCAGGGCTCTGTGGAGCATCGGCTGATTTCTCCCGGAAGAAGAAATAGAGCTTGTCGTCATTTTTCTCAGCGCTGTCTGGGATGAGCTGTGCATGAACGAATGCTGGATCTGCAATGAGACATGCCTCTGTGGTCAAGTCAAGGCACATTTGCATCAGTGGGCATAGCCTCCTTGCTGAACCATGTCAACTCCGATGCCTCATGGAACAGAGGCATAGAAGCAGTCACAAATGGGGCAGAGTTAAGGTTACACAGGCATGACTTGACTGGAATGCCTAACAAGAAAGCTGAGTTCTCTCTCAATACCTACCTGACATAACATCTTGGGAGAAAATCCACTTGAGAATGCCACAGATGTCACTTAAAATAGGCAAGACTGCACAGTAATGAATTTAGGTCTCTGTAGGAGGGAGCTGCTCTCCAAGAGGCCCTGGGGGATGCTTAACTTTTTCACTTGATGGCTGTGCAGGCTCTGGATCGCCATTATGCTGTTCTGTGTGCAGAGTAAACCCGGCTGTGTCCTTCGTAAATTTAAGGCTGATCTGACTTCACTGAGACCACCTGGAGTTGTACGGCTCACTCCAGCAGAACAAGGATCGAGCTCTTTCATTGCTCCCAGCATTACAAATCTATTGTGTGTGTTTCAGTGAGGCCAAAACTCCATCACTTCAGTATTAAATCTTCTTGGTGTGTGTCAGTGTGGGCTCCATCCATGCCAATTTTCAACAGGCTATCCTGGCTGGTGCAGTCGTACAAGGTCTATTTTTCTTTTACAATGGGAAGAGTTCATTGTTCCTTGCACACTCTTTACACTTAAAAATGGCTTATTTTTGGTCAAACTTTTAAGAAAAAAATTGCATTCTAGTGCAGAAACAAGCCTGTGATTTCAGTCCAGAATTTTCAGCAATTTATCAGTTCCTGAAAGTAGAGGATTAAAATGGAAACTATTCCGCAGCCCTAGCTAGAGTGATCCATGCTTCTGCTAGAAAATCCATCCGCAATTAATCAGCGTGCCACTAAGCCCGGGGTGACAGCTCGCTCTCCTCAGGTTCCCTAAATGACAGCTCCCATACCGGAAATATAATCTTATGGCTCTGACCTCTGTTTATTCAGCTGCCAGGCTCCCTTGCCACAGCTGGAGATGCTACTGCAAAAGGGCCACACACTCCTCCCGTTGGATGCCTCCCTCTGGTGCAGCAGAGGAAGGGAGGGAAGCTGGAGATAACTGTTCTGGTTTGGCTGCTGCAGATGAAACGTTTGACACTCTATTCCAAAACAGATCTGTTCTTCCACCCATCCATCCTCATACATACCCATCTATCTATCTGTCCCTGTACAGACCAATCCATCCAGACCCAAATATCCATTCCTATTCAGACTCGTCCATCCATCTGTTCCCATTCATCCATCAACCCAGCCTCATACAGACCCATTTATCTGTGCATCTATCAGTGCATACATCCTCCATACAGACACAGCCATCCATCCAGCTGTCTGTTTGCCCATCTTTTCCCACAGAGGCCCATCTATATAGCCACGTTAGTGTTTTCTTCACTCTTCATCATCTCCTTTTCTTCACTTGTGCAATTCCTGCAGACACCATAGGAACCTCTTGAGGATCACCTGTTCATTTGCTCCAGCCCTCTGGCTGAGGCTCCCTGCCAGGAGGGAATTCTTACCCCCATGTACAGAAGCGGCCACTGCTTCTGGATTTTGCTACAATGAAAAGTAGCTGAGAAGAAGCTGTGTTCAGACTGGCTACCTGGCTTCCAAGGATGGAGTCATGGGATGCCAGCAGCTGCTGGGTTAAATGCTATGCATTTCACATTTGTTGCCCCACACCTGCAAACCACCAAGTGTCTTGGGTGGTTTATATGCTGACAGACCACACCACTTTCAGATGACTGCACTGGGAAAGGCTGCCCTGACAAGACACAGTAGGATGCAGATGGTTGTGGAGACATCACTGTTCTTCCTCTTGGTGTCTCATTAGCTCTTGTGTCACCCAGGCCCTTCAGGAAGGAGCCCCCATAAGCAGGAATCATCACGTACTTTGTCATGGCTGAAACCATGGACTTTACTCTGGAATGGCTGTTCTTGGACAGCTGTGTCTTGGGCTCCAGTTGGATAGCTGCAGCACTGGTCCTGTTCAGTTACAATGCCTCTGATAAGGGAATGCAGCAGTGTACCACATGCTTCACTTCGGTACACTGTGCCTTGGGAAGATGTCTTCTCTTAGAGTTTGTGGTACCCACAGGCAAGTGTGGGCAAGTGGCCCTTTCTGTGGCTATGAGTCCCAAGTGGCTATGAGTCTGGCATGGCCTCAGTCTGCTCTCTTCTGCTCATGCTATAGGGGCAGATTCTACCCCTGCTGCTGGGCCCCCATGTACTGTAGGATTTCTGAGGGAGTAAAACAAAAGTGGGTCTGTTTTGCCTTGTCTGCCCTGAAAATCCTCCCCTTCTTGCCAGCATCACTGCAGCTGCACTGGAGGGGCAAAGATGGGGTGCCAGTGGTACTGTCTAGATGCATTCTGAGATCCAGGGCACCCACGCCAGGGCTCTCCTCAGTGGTTCTGCCATAGCTGGAGGACCTGCAGTGCTGATGAGGAGGACAGGCTGGGCAAGGACCCTGTGTTACCAGGTAGAGATGGAACTGTATTCAATGCTTTGAAGAGTGACCGGTGAGCCTCACTGCTGCAAATGGATCCCACACAGGGACTTCTGCCTAAAAAGCTGTCCTGCAGGGAGCAAGTTGGCAAGAGGGAGCCTACTAGAGTGTTGTGAGGAGAAGGAACCGCCGGTAGGTACCAGGAGAGAGCAGAGGCTCAGGACTGACAGCTGCGGACTGTCCCAGAAGCTGCCCAGAGCAATGGGGAACGGCTGGGTGCAAAGCTAGGAAGAAGCAGAGAGGGAGTTTCCAGCATACGGTGTAGTGTGGATGGGGCAATGAAACTGAAGGTGGGAAAGGGAAGGCTGGAGAGGAGGTTCAGAGGGAAGTGGGGAAAATCCCATTGTACACGTCATCCCTGTCATAAAAACCTTGCCCAGTCCTGCACTGAGGCCCTGCTCTGCTCCTCAGACTGAAGGAAATGCACACTCCCTAAGGACATGAGACATCCTCATTGCCACAGGCCACAGTAGCACTGCTGAAGAAGGACTAGTTAGGGGCTTGGCTGTTGATTCCTCATTCAGAGAAGGCTCCTCACTGGACCCATGCTGCCCCCTTCTTTGCCAGGGTGGGAAGTCCCATTTGCTTTTGGGATGGAAGAGGGAGCCCCCTTCAAGTCACTGTTTTAAGAACCCTGTTTGGGGTGCTCTGGGTGCCACTTAGACCCTCACAGGAGCCCTGGGTATTGGGGGGCCAGAAAAAAATGCAGGTGTCATGCTTTATCCTCCCATCAGAAATGGGTTGTGGCCCTTGGGCAGATGCCCAATGCTTTTCCTTTACTGCCCTAGACCTCTCCCCAGACTGCTGCTCACCATTCAGCCAGCGGGAGTTGTACTGGTCAGTCCTCATGGCTGTCTGCTTGCCCATGGTGCGGAAGATGGCAGCGTCAGTGCCCATGAAGTCAATGTAGACGCCGGCATAGAGCTCCTCATCTGTGGGGTGGAGGCAGAGATCAGTAGAGCCTTGCTGAGGGGGAGGCCACATTTGAGTGTGTAGGGTGACTGGTATATCTGGCTAAAACCTGCCCACAGATATACATGACCATGTTCCTTTAGCCTCTATGGGGATGGACATCAGCACAGAATCAGCCTCATGTAACCACCGTCCTTAGAGTGGGCCAGAAGGATACCCATCCCCGGGATGGGGCCCTGAGTGCCATGGAGGGTAGGAAGGGTAATGCCTTCTTTCTATCAGGATGCCCTGTGACTGCTGGTAGTAAATGGGAAATGTGGGAAGCCCATATGTGTTGTTACTTAGGAGTCAGGTAGGAAATGACGGGTACATTGGAAGGCTCCCTTTCCCTGCCAGCAACCGGGACATATCACAGGATAGGGACTATAAGCCTGTCCCTGCTGACTCCAGAATCCTTCCTCATGCCTCAAGGGAGGCTCTCCCCTACAGGCTGGGTGAGAGAGCTGATTTTTTCCCTAAGAGCATGAGGGCTAGACCTGGGTGTAAGGTACCCTTTGGGCCTGAAGCAAGGGCTCAGGTGGTCAGGGAAGCCTTGGAAGTAGCACCCTCCATGTGAAGAAAGGGACCAGAGCTCTGTCGTCACCACACAGGCAGGTCCCAACCTCCAGTGCTGTGCTTCATTGGCATTAAGGCAGAAGCAGCCCCCTCACCATTCCCAGGCCCAGTGACCAGCCTGTGGATTTGCAGCTGCTCCCAAATTAATTAAGCAGTGTTGGGCCTGTCATGTAAGGAAACACCAGCGTCTGGAGAGGATCAGAGGCGGCCAAGTCCTATCAAGGGGCTTGGGGGGATTAGCAGTAAGTGAGAGATTTGGCCAGTGGTGGTGTTTGCTCCTGGGGGAGTCTGGTGCAGCTGTTGCATGTTAGGTCTGGGGGTGGCAGGGCATCAATCCCATCCCTCATTATTTTACATCTCCGTCTTGCCTGCCTCTGTGTTTTTCTAACCCCATCCCAGACACTCACTGGCCCCTGCTTCCCCCATGGGGAAAACTCCACAGAGCCGCTGCTCTCCCTGCCTTACAGAGTGGGATCTCCCCCTGCCCAGCAGTGCTCAGAAGCCAGGCTGGCTTAGGAGGTAAGTAGCATTACTGATAATTGGGCAGGATGGGGCAGGAGATCAGAGAAGCTAGATACAAAGAACACAGGAAGTAGGTGGAGTGAAAAGGAAGAAGAGCACTGGTCTGATTTCTAACCCCTGAGAGAAAAGACAACTTTCTGGGAAGGGGGTGTGGGTGGGAGGACCCCCTTCACCCTCTCCGTTTTCCTACTCTTTTCTGCCAGGGTTCTTACTCTATTCCCATCCCTTTGGCATCTGCAGGCCTCTCTATTAGTCACAACCCTTTAGGTCCTCACATTTAAGCACCACCACCCTTTTGCCAGGGAGTTGGTGCAGGGTGTCACTGGGCTGGGTCAGCTGGAAGAGGCATGCTCTGCAGTGACTCTTTCAGTTTCTTCACTGCTGCAACCAGTGCAGGGCTTCAAAGGGCTGGATTTGCTGTCCCCACAGCAGCTGAGGCCGTGGGGCCCTGAATGAGCCTTTGGAGCAGTCACCTTCAATGGAGCTGTGAAAGCTCAGAGCTGAGGAACTACCAGGACTGAAAGGCTCCACCTGGTTAAGCTAATATTCCCTAGGAGAAGGGGGAGGGGAGAGTACCAAGCTGTTCCTACTGAAGACAGACTACCACTCCTGCCTGCTACCTGTCCTGAAGAGAGAGAGAGAATAAAGAGAAATTCCTAAATTCCTAAAGAGAATTTCATCACCTCTGATTTTACCATTATTCTCAAACAACCTAATATTTCACAAGTAATGAGTGCTCTAGTTCACTGCCAGCCCTGGGGCACAGCCCAGAGGCTCTGGAATGGTACAGTTCTGTCCATGGGGGCCATCAACCCACTTGCTTGTTCTCTAGATACTGGGGGAAGAGGGGTCAGGATTTTGTGGCACTCTCCCAGACAGCGGTGGCCTTGACTAGCACAGGGCGTGCGGGGCAGCTCTCTGGGGGCAGGTTGGGGCAGGAGGAAGGACTGTGCAGCTCTGACTACACCATGTGGTCAGATGGAAGCTTAGCCTCCAAGTTCCGGGTGGTGCAAGGTGAAGCCAGTAAACGGCATATATAAGCCAGTGGATAGAGACTTCCACAGACACGAGTAGTGGAGAGTCATGGTACACCCTTGTTTCAGGCCAGAAGCATCAGGATTCTCAGGTACATGAGTTCAGGTGGCCCCACAACCACGTGTTCACCAGGCCGACACTAGGGCACTGCAGCCTTGTCTATGCCACCTCCCTGGAGGTGGTGTCATGGGCAAGGGGCTCAGGCACTCTCCTCACTAAGGTGGGTAGAGAATGGCACATGTTGCCTACCAGGACCCAGGTCTTGCCTGCTCCATCTTACCCCAGAGCACCCCAAGATGCTCCAAGATCTGCTTATGAGAAAAGCAGAAACTCTGGAAATAGAGATGTCAATTTGCCAAAAAAAATCATATGCTGCTGGTTGCACTGACAGCATAGGTGAGGCATGGCGGGGAGGGGGAAGCACAGAGAGCATGTGTCCCCCGAGATTTCTGTGCCAATGGCGGGGTGCAGGGCTGCCACCTGGCCAGATCTAGGGCCTGGCAGCAGCAGGGGTGGTGGCACGGAGTTGTGCCCCCCGCACTGTTAATACTTATGCATCATTTATGACTGACAGCATTACACCCGGTCTGCCAACCCTTTCAGGGAACAAAGGGTTGCTCGACTTTGCAAGAAGATGCAAAAGATTCAACCAGGAATTACTGCAGTGGGTCCTAGGCCTGGGTTAGACAGGCTGGATGATGATCATGTCACTTCTTACCTATCACTGTTTCCAGTAATGTTGAACTTAGTTTATCTGGGTCAGAAATAGAAACAAAAGGATGGGAGAGAGAGGAGGAGGAAGGAGAGGACGGAGAAATGCCACTGCAGTCGTAGGATAGATAAAAGGACTCACTTATTAGTGCTGAGACACTGTCCACCTTGGGATCGTAGGAGCACTTCCCTTTGCCAGATTCCAGCTTGTCTGGCTCCAGGTAGAAGATATAATCCTAGAACAGACAGTTGAGCAAGTCATTATAACCCGCCCTTCTGTTTCCATAAAAGCTAGTGACACTCAGGTTTATCAGTACACACAAGAACCATATCATCCACCATGGAAAAGCAGCCCCGTCAGGGGAAGATCACAGCAGCTCTTTAACAGCATGCAGCAACACTGCAGGAAAGGCAGGAAATGAAGGAGAACACTGGCTCGAATGGACCTGCAGAGGCAGATTTGAATAAACCCAACTGGAATTTGAGCAGGGCATGAGGGACCTATGTCACGCCTCAAAGCTAAACTCCTGCACAAACCTCCACCTGTGGCTAAACAAAAAAGGCACTGGGAAATTCCAGCTGCCCAAGTGAGCTTGGCTTTACAGGCAGGGGGCAGCATAAGGACCTGTTATTCCAAGGTTGCTGTATGCTACCAGCTCCTGTCCAGGCCATGTGCATAGGCCTGCTTGTTACTACAGATACAATCCTAATGAATGCAAACTCAGTCAGGGACTGACCCAAGCCTGCCCTGCTCTGTCCCCCATCCTTTGAATGAAAGCTATAGCCTCCCACTCCTAGAGACGGTCTTGCCAGAGTTGGTGCTTACACGTCTGAGTCATAGGACACCAAGCTGGGATCCCGGTTCCAACAAAAGTAACCAGGCCCTAGCTTTGCCACCTTCGGGCACATCTCTTTGCCTGGGCTTTCTACGGACAGCATGGATAGGCAGTATTCCAATCTTTTTCAGTAATCAGGCCCACAAGCTCCGTTTTGCATTTCACCCAAATAATGACACATCACCACTCCTTAGTGCTCTGCTGGGGCACTTTCTCAAAGGGAGGAGCAAATCCTGGAGTCACCGCCAGCATTCTCTGTTTAACTGGGAGTTTCTCATCCAGGTAACAGCCAAGTCTGGCCTTGCTCAGCTTGCAAAACCTGGAATGATCAGCACCCTTTCTATTACAGCAGCAAGAAAAGAACAAGGCTGACTTTCTTGAATGTTGCTGGCCATTAATACCAGACCTCACAGCACCTAGGTCCAGGTCAAACAGAAGGAACTGCTGGCAAGTAGCTGCCTCTGGGTTTGATAAAGAAATTACCTCCCAGGACAAGCTGCAGTGGTCTGAATGCCTCCTCATGTCCTTTTATATGCATTACTTCAATTAGTGCCTGCTAACTCAACTCCCAATGGACTTTAAAATAGGGAAATGGAGGACGCTAGCACTGCAAGTATGTGGGTGCTGGAAGATCAAATGGGGAGATCAGGCACATATGCTGTCCTCACACACTATCGTATAACTAGTGCAGGAAGATATTGTTCCAGGAAGTACCACCCTGTTTTGCTGCAGTCCAGGAAGGACCACCCCTCAACAGCTTTCTAGGCAGTGGGGCAGTTTATTTACTTCATACAGTTGACCTTGCATGCATGTTTTCTTCAACTATTTTCCTTACTAATAGGCCCCCAAATCAACAAACCACCTCTGTTCAGCAAAAAATTTCAGCCTGTTTTAAGTGAATATCATCAATCTCAAGCACTTCAAAGTCAGGAGATTCAAAAGTCACAAGATGTTTTAAAAATAATAAATCTTGGATCATTTTATTTGCCTTCTTGTTTCTGAGTCCTCAGCGTACTCTCACTTCATGCACACAAGCTTTTATGTGCAACAAGGGGCTGAATCTTACTTTTATTAGTAAATGAAGCTAAGTTTCTCAAACAGCCTCTTGATTCCAATTGCTGGATTTTAAAACATACACCCCAAATCATAAGGGTTGTGATAAAATCATGAGAACTGGCAAAAGTGTTAAATTTTAAACTTTAGTCCTGTCAACCCACAAAGGTAGGCCAGCAAGAAAAAATGCAGCTACAAAAGACACTGCAGACTCTTAAGAAGGGCATTTTTTCCAGTCTCTATGACCTCAGTGGTCAATGGGCATGTCTACACTAGACAATGCGCAGCAGACTAATACTACTGTGCATTAGCGCATCACAGCAACTATCATGCTAATGCACAGTAGAATTAGCCTACTGCATATTACGTGTCATGAAAAGACTGTGCACCATTGCTACTGCACATTAGTGCTGGCTACTGAACATTTATGTAGTACCTCATATTAGAGGTACTAAACTTAATGCGCAGTAGCAATGGTGCACTAATGCATGTGTAGACCCACTGTTGAGGGGACTGGGGCATTGTGAGATTGGTACTGGAGAACTATTTTTCACTAGAACTAGCAATGCAGCATCTACACAGGTAATTTGCAGAAGGAATAATGTTGGTAAACTGAACTTATCCCTGCTTGAAACATGAGCTGACGGCCCTTCATAAAAAATTGAAGGCTTCTATTGCCTATATCAAGGATAGCTCTACTGAGGGCCTGACTGGGGATGGCACACCTTCAATGCAGATGAGGCCATAGCCAGCTTTTCCCACTGTCTCTGAGTGCCCATTCACGAAGTGACAGCAGAGAAGAGTATTGCAAGAGAAAATTAATAGATTCATATATAGTAAGGGGCTGGAAGGAACCTTGCAAGTTCATCGGGTCCAGCCCCCCTGCACTAGGTAGGCAGATAACTGGGATTAGGTGGCCCCAGCGAGGTGACTGTTCAGTCTTCTCTTGAAGATTTCCAGGGTAGGCGATTGCACCACTTCTGGAGGGAGCTTATTCCACAGACTGGACACCCTGACTGTGAAGAAGTTTTTCCTAGTGTTAAGCCTGAAACGGTTTTCCAGGAGTTTGTGGCCATTACTCCTGGTTTTGCCCAAGGGTGCCCTGGTGAACACTTGTTTGTTGAGCCCTTGATGTATTCCCTTGATGTAGCGGTAAGCTGCTACCAAGTCCCCCCTCAGCCTTCTTTTTTTTAGGCTGAAGAGGCCCAAGCCCCTCAGCCTTTCCTCGTATGGCTTGCCATGCAAGTCTCTGATCATATGGGTGGCTCTTGTCTGGACTCTCTCAAGCTTTCCCACAACCTTGTTGAAGTGCGGCACTCAGAACTGGACGCAGTACTCCAGCTGCGGTTTCTCCAATGCTGATCACAAAATGTGATTGTATAAGTTGTACCAATGTGACTATACAAGTGTTGGCAAGTCCATGGCCTGCAAACACCTACAGCTCCTTGTTGGGACTCACTCAACTGCAAGATGATGGTATCCCATTAAAGCAGCTCTCAGTCTCCATGCTAAGCCAATGGCAGTCAGGCCATCATCATACCAATTCTATAACAGCCAAGTTATTTTATAAATCCCTGTGGTAACTGTGCCATTTTTTATGGTAACTCTAGAGTAGTCATCACGATGTTATTCCTATAATAACTTTTGGAAAGAATTAATCATATCTTTCACAACTAGAGATTAGGATGAGACCTCACATAAAGGTTAGATTATCACAGATCTGCTACTGCAGGGAGGGGGGAGAAGGGTTATATTGTCCTCTAAAATTTCTGGTGGCAGCCACAGAGACAGGATAGTAGATTATATGGGCTTTGGCTCTGATCCAATCTGGCAAGCTTTTTGTTCATGTGTAACTTTGAAGTCCAACCAGCCTCATTTAAAGCTTGCGTTACTCTACAGGGCATCATAGTAGAATCAAACATTCTTAAATGGACTGCCTTATTAATTAAGAGTCTAGTCAAGAGCCATCTGAATTTTCCTTCCTCTTCCTCTTCTGGATATGATGGTAACACTGAACCCTGTGCATAAAGGCTCCACATTTCAAGGAAAAGCCTCACTGCACTCTTACAAGGTGCCTTCTACTTTTAATATAAAACAAAGATCCAGTTCAGATGAAAGACGGGAAAAAAATCAGTTGTGTGAAAAAGGCAACATTCTGTTCAAAGTGTTTGAAATGACCTATTTTTTTTCCTTTTGCAAACTTTTAAAACAACATTTTCATTGAGAACATTACTGAAAAGGTTTCTGAGACTTTTCATTTCCCAAAATTTAGGAAATGAAAAATGTGATCATTATTTTGATTATTTTTTAAAAAGTTAAGAAGCTATAAAAATGTTCACAGAATGTGAAAAATGCTGTTGTAGAAAAAGGCATTTATGAAAAAAAGGCTAGTTTTCAATGGCAAAGCCTTCTGTTGGAACACTTGAACTATCTCTAGTCCAGATGTTCAGCTTGAATTTAAGCTGTTCATTAACATAATCATTGTTGATTGTTGGAATGTTCCATTAGTCCTTTTCTAAGGAGATGAAAAAGTGGGTAGGTTACAAGCTTTGCAATATGGTAACAAATTTGGAAATGGAAGGATCTGAAGGAAGGGCTGAAAGTAAAAGACATGCAGTTTAAATAGCTAAGTGCTGAGTTCATCCCTGTTTCAGGAATTCACACCAGTGGGGTCTGCTAAGCTACACTGATGTTGTCTTAAAGATGGATTGGATGAGACAGAATTAATCTCCCTCCCTCGACCTTTCTATTACCTGAGGACTTGCTCATGTCAGCTACTTTCATTGGAATGGGCTGAGTCAGTGTGGGAAGCACTGGTGTAACACTGAGGTATAAAGGGACATTAGGGTTGGCATGAATGAACGGGATGAAAAAGATCAGCCTACATCATAATGAGTAAAGCAAAGCTCAGGCACAGAGCTTTGCTGATAGCGTGCCTGTCAATATGACCAAGCGAAAGCAGTGCACACCCCCACCAAACCCAACCACAGCCTCACACGCAGGATAGAGCTATACAAACATTACCTCCATGCACGCTCTGTACAAACACACAGCAACACCCTTGCAGACACAGTACTACAGAGATTTCTCCAGGCGCAAATATCAGTTGTATGTTAATGATACAGATGAGCTCTGTTACAATTATTGAAAACATCGCCAGCACTGGACAAACCTTTATTGTGAATAATTCCTCCAGAACATTTACCTTTTTCTCTGCTGGTCACAGATCCTTCTTGGATAGACTTTCCTGAATTCAGTTTCTATTCAGTATTAGGAAAATTGGACTGGAAGGGACCCCCTAGATCATCAAGTGCAGCAGCCCCTGCTTTCATAGACAACCAGTCACA